ACTAACAATAAAAATTTAATTATTTATTTATTACTATTACTATTTAATACTTTGAAAGCAGACAAATCTTTTAATCGGTATATATAGTGAACAATTCTTGTCAATTAAGACAAGACTTAAGATAAGACTTTAATTGTTAAGGTAAGACTTAGTGCTAATGTAGCTGAGTCTTTTATTCAGCGCTTATAGCAGCCGATTTTTTAGTGCAGCGCTTATGGCAGCCGAAATCCAACGCCAGAGAGCAGCCGCTATAATAAGTAATTCAATATTTAAAGAAACCTGCAAATAAAGAAATTGTTCATTATTAATTTTGTAATCTATGATATTACATATAAATACATTTAATTCAATATTTATAAATATATATATATATATAAATATTGAGCCAAAGATAGGTCAACGACCGCAAGAGTCGATTTTACACTACTTCTGGTCCAAATGCCCGCTCGGCGGTCCCCTTTTCGATAAAGGAACTTAATCCTTTTTACCCGGGACGGGACCAAGTGCGATTCAGGAGCGTGGGTAATGAGGGGGGGGGGAATTGATTACATTGGATTTAAAAGAAATAAAATTAATTAAATTTATTGTACATTATAAAAGGATAAAATTTACATCAACATTTTAATTAGTTATTACTCTAGCACAATATTAAGTGTGATTGTTTGTATGTTTGTGGGTACATTAAGCGTGATTGTGTGTGTATGTGAGACGGGGTGAGGTTGGTCGGAATCTGGAGGATATCTTTCCCGGAAGAATTCTACGGGAATAGCGATGGGGTATCTGGTGAAGGGAGTAAAGCAAGGTATGGGAATGTCGGGAGGAGCGGTGCGGAGAAAGGCCTTGAGAGTTGGAATATGAATAGGACCAGGATCCAAGGTGAATTGACCCGGAAGGATGGAGTGAAAGTACAGAGGGTAAGTCAAGCTGAGAATTTCGGAGAGGATCCGATCACTAAGATCGATGTCGGAGTAAACAGGGGGAGGAAGAGGAGGAGGAGACAAGGGATGAGGATCTGGGACTGGCGAGTGGGGTGGAGAAGGAGAAGGTGATAGCGGCGGGAAATCAGATTGAAGGTCAGATTGTGTGTCATACACCGGGGAGTAACTGGGAGGAAGAGTTCCGGGAAGCAGGTATGGGGAGTAATTAGGGGAAGGAGTGCGAGGGGGCGGATGTGAGGAGTCTCGCGTGTCTCCTTGAAAATTATTTAAAAAGATCCGCGTAATAGGGAGATCCGCGTTTATTTGACTTAAGTCTAGCGCAAATGAAGAATCAGCCACAGCCCGAGCCAGCAGTCGGCGGATACGTCGATTACAGCGATATCGAAGTCGCTTAGCGTGGGCTCTAGTGGATTTCCTCGTGGGTTCCACTAGAGAAACGATTATTATGAGTAAAGGAAGTAGACGGGGGAGGGGGAGGAACTTTGAAGATAAAGGAAAAGACTTACTATTTGCGAAAGGCGATTGCAAGTGGAGAATATAGTCGTAATGGCTGCTGGGTCCCCTTTTCGTGTCGAAGACGAGGCGGTGTTCTGGGTTGACTCGTTATGTGTATAGCTGACAGGAACGACCAATATTCGCACTGATTCTATATGAAGGTTGATATGTCTCGAAACTTTTGAGTGCGTATATGAACGCGTGAGTCAATGAATGAATGATTAATGATTGACTGAACGAATTTTTCTGACTGGGGTTGTTCGAAGTTCGCGCTTATATATCGTTTTGGATTACCCTCTCCTAGCGTGAGGAATAAGGGAGGTTGACGAATAGAAATCTTTGTTAGATTTCCATGGCCTCCTCTCTGCCCCTACTTATGAGCATTTTAGTACAAATGTAACAAATCAGAATTTTATTACATTCGTTCGCGAATAGGAGAGCATCTTCCAAAACGGGGGATTTAGGATTCTCAGTATCGCACAAGGGATGACTGTTACTACCCTCTTGCGATATTCGGTCACTCACGTTTTATGATTAGTTTCCTTTATTTTTTGATTTTATGAGTTTTTAAGAAAATATCGAATTTGTTTGACTGAATGCCGCTTTATTTAACCGGATGCTACTTTTATAGCCCGTTAACATCCGATTGTTATTTTAGGACATGTACTGAGCATCCCGCTTTAATCTAGCTATTATTATCGGCTCTAGAAATCGTGTACGTGTGCACCGGATACGGGAAAGAAAAGAATCGTAACATCCGATATCCGATCACTCGCGTTTTATGATTAGTTTCCTTTATTTTTTTGATTTTATGAGTTTTAAGAAAATATCAAATTTGTTTAACTGAATGCCGCTTTATTTAGCCGGATGCTACTTTTATAGCCCGTTAATATCCGATTGTTATTTTAGGGCATGTACTGAGAATCCTGCTTTAATTTAGCTATTATTATCGGCTCTGGAAATCGTGCACGTGTGCACCGGGTACGGGAAAGAAAAGAATCGTGAATTCCCCTGGACGTAACAATATATTCCTTTTTTTATATAATATCAAACAAATGGATATTTTTTACTACTGTCGACAGCCAATGATAGTTTCTATCTTTGTAATAGCTGCAATAATAACGGCTACTATAATAAGATAAAATTGTGATGTGCATATGCTCAACAATTGCCTTAATATACGAATTTATATATTTTTCACATATGGACATAGAACATACATATGTTCCGATATGTGCATAAATTTGTGTGTTAAGGCATTCTTATTGCCAAGCGCATAATAAATGCTATTTACCTATTGCTCAGAATCGTTGTTAATTAATATACGTGAAACACATATGTGAAGCACGTATGTGAAACACGTTTATAACCGTAACTAACGATTGTAACTCCGTGCAGTACATTAACCATGTAACGTTTCTCGACTGAAGCAAGTTTTGATCTAAAAACAATTAATATCATTCACCAATTGCAACCATTCTATTCTTCAGAATAGCTATGATTGACCAATAATAACATTATTAATTGTTCTCAAAGCAATATGGCGCTACCTATAAATGATTACAACCAATAAAAAACAAGTTTTTTGCTGGTTAAAAGTTACATATCTATAAAAATTTTCAATCGATGATTCAATCGATAATCAAACATGGCCGCAGAGAAAGAAGTAAATATTATATCATCCTTAATATTTTTTTATTTATTAAACAACTTATATAATTTTTTATATAATATTCATTTGATTTTAAATATATTCGATATATGATATTAAATATATTTAAATATATATTGATATTATATATATTTAATTTAAAATTTTAGATGATCGTAGAAGTTGATGATTTTCTGAACGAATTCTCGTTCGGAAAAGAAATGGATTGTAATTCCATAGCCGGTCCCGCCACTTCCGCTGGTCTCGCAGATAATTCTATCGTTGGACGCATATCTAATTCTGCCGCAGTTGCCTCCGTCGTCAAACCCATTGCTGCTGAACGCGTCCATAGAGTAGCTACTAATTCTACCGCCAAACCCGTCACCGTTGGTTCTGTTACCAAATCCGTCGCTGTTGGTTCTGTTACCAAACCCGTCGCCGTTGGTTCTATCGTCAAACCTGTTGCTGCTGGTATCAACACCAGCATTAAGTCCGTTGTAAAATCCGCTGCTGCTCCCATCGCTGACTCTGGCAATGCTGCCGCTAATATTATTGTGACTGATCTCGATAATCCTGATCCCGCTAATTATGAAAATGAACGAGGTAATATTTTAATTACATTTTAGTTTATCTATTTATCTTAGTTATTATTTTCATACTTTTTATGTTTTTCATATCTTTTCATATCTTATCTCTAGTTCAAAGATCAAGAGGAACAGCAGCAGGAGCACGCAAGCAGCAGGAGAGATTTATGAGATTCCTCTACCAACTATCGTCTGCTCACTATAATTGGGGCAGACGAGCAAGACCAAGAAGGTAATAAAAATTGTTCATTTCAAAATATTTAAAAAATCCTTTATTTTATAAATACAATAACATTAACACATTAACATGAGATTATTTTTTTAAATTGATTTTAGCAGACAGTGGCACAATGAATAAACTACCATATGAGGACTACATGATAATAATTAAATTTAAAGTTTGTGTTTATTTATTATAATTTTTGCTTGCATTAATAATTATATTTAAAAATTATGTTTACTTTCATTATATTTCTGTTTATTAGTATTAAAGAGTAATAATCAAAAAATTGCATTCATATACATTGATATAATTTCTGTTTAACTTCTGCTTATTCTGTGTTTATAGTCATTATAATTTTATATTCATTAATGATATAATTACTGTGATATAATATATAATATCTTATTATCAGTATTAATTTAGAGGTTTAATGTATTAAAGGAATTTTGAACGATCAAAATAAATATCTTTAAATAAGTAAAATGATTATCATTATTATTATTGTTATCCTATTATTATTATTTATTATAATTAACAATGATAATTTCTGTTTTTTATACATAATGATATAATAATGAGATAATATTGGCATGAAGCTGTATCTATGTAGTATGTATGTATGTATGTATCTAATGCTAGTATTTTATAATTTATGAGATGAGAACAAACTTAGCGAGATAAAGATTTATTACGTATATTAGATATACTAAGTTATATAATGGTACTGATATACTAAGATATATTATCTAAGATATATTATCTTAGTATATCAGTACTATTATATAACTTAATATTCAGTATATATGTATATATAAAGAGAAACTACAGATACACTAAATATATATATTAAATAACATAAATGTTTAAGACTTCTAATCTCTCATCGATTTCATAAAACTGGAAAAATTATTTCAATTTTGACAATGTAAAAAACAAAATTTATAATTTTTATAGTTGTTTTGCATTTAATGTCATAAATCGTCAATATGTTTACATAATGATTCAAGAATCTCAATAAGAAAATCAATAAGCAATATACACAATGTAAGAGGAAACATTAAAATTAATAAATATAATATTTACATCGTTATGCGTTATAATAAAATATTTACATCGTTTGGCGTAGACAAAAAGATATCTTGTCCTAAAATGGGAGCTGGATATGATGGCGATGGTGTCCCTGGTGGTGTAATATGCGGTAATTCATTGATTTCGATATCATTGTGTCTGAAATGTCTTGGAGGTGATAGATCGTTCATCAATTTAAATGCGATCAAGCGTCTACTAGCTTCTAACGGAAATATCACTGTAGTTCTTAATTGTTCCGGACTCGACTTTGTTCTTTGGTGTTTGGTGAGCACATTTGAAGCGCTCAAATTGGCATCCTGAGAAAACTGAAAAATAATTCATTACGAATTATTAATATACATAATATAATATAATTATTAATATACATAATATATGTGTAATATATGTCTTACAGTTTGACTATTTATTCCAGACAATGTTGATGATACGAGTTTTGTCAGATATGCTTTTATCCAGCGAAATATCGATCGGGCCAAAGATTGTGGCCAATCCTGCGGTTCTTTTTTGCTGGAAATGTGTTAGTTGTTCATTCAATTCTTCCTTTGCTTTATTAGGTGCTTTTCAAAATATCTACATAGAAAAATATTGAGATCAGAAAAAAAATATAAAAATTTATTCAATACTTTGACATACCTTTCTAAGAATTTCTTCTTTATCGGATTTCTTCAAAAGAACATCATCTATTTCATTTGCAACACTACTTTATCACGAATATGACGTGGCGCAATAGTGCGTACTAAATCGTGTCGAAGATCGGCAACTGCCGATGAGCCAAGTCGCAATTGTAAAATTGTCCGAGCATCAGGAAAGCAGAAAGAAATAATGACGGTGCGAACTATATACGTGTCCAAGAACATCGTCGATCACGTAATTAATGCCGTCTCCAGGGTCTGACTCGGGAGACGGCATTAATTACGTGGTCGACGGTGTTCTTGGATACGTGTATAGTTCGCACCGCCATTATTTCTGAGTCGCCCGATCTCCCGGTTCGCACTCACCTCCCTCTTCCTATCCTGGGGCCCGGAGTACCACGTGATATTCCGGCCACCAATCACGCGCCAGATCTACTGCGCTGAGATATTTACGCATCGTCCGACTTAATCAAGGACCAATTGTCGGCCAAAGAGTCGTAATGCGCGCTTCCTACCAAGATACGCGCTTCATCTTGACGAGAATACTACTTGTATTACGTTCTAATATATTATGGTATTGTGTTTTAATATGATATGATATATAAGTAAAAAATTAACGCACAATGTTACGCATATACACACATAATTTTGTCTCTCAAGGCGTATTTGCACACTCGAACGAATAATCGTACATAAGCGTTGCAAACGCGCCATGAGGGACAAACTTGCTTTGCGTGTATGCGTGCGAGCATATGTACGTGAGTCTGAACCTGGAAATGAAGGAAAACGATAAAATGTCACATTTCTGATATGCGGTCATTATTTCTCGGGATTGACTGCACCAATCTTATTCAAACTGATCGCAATCGAAAGCTTGTATACATATAATGTTATAAAAGTATCGTTAGATTTATGATTACGGCTTTAATTTTTGAAATATTTTAATTGAAAGTTTCTTAGACCCAAAATTCCGGATAAGGTACTTGGTAGCGCCGCGACGAGGACAGTGACTTTCAGTCGAAAACAGTGACTCTCAATGCTTGATTCTTTTTTTTATGTACTTGGCGTCGCGATGCTATCGCGTCGCTTGATTAATATTATTGTAATATTATGTGTATATTACTTTCTAAGTGTGTTCATTATTTGGATGAAAGACGCAATTTTTGTTCAAACTGACGTGAAAAATGAACAATATAAAATATAAATTTATATCTTACATATATTTTTTTATATATACTAGAACATTACAAAACACCACGCCATTAAATTGTTTTGCTATTTAATATAATATAAGAAAAATACACGGAAAAAAAACAACTAAAAATTTTGATAGCTCAGCAAATCTACATCCGAAATACATGGACAACTAGTCTTCTATGTTACAGTAACCAAGTTTCAAGCTCTATAAAATAATGATTATAACTGAGAGTAAAATAACATTATATAGCAAAGATGACTTTTTAATTAATTCAATCCAAAATATGGTTTAAATTTCAAATAATGTATATTTGTCGAAGTAACATAGATTTTTGCTGCTTTATTAAAATGTGATATATTAACAATCCTTATTATAGCAAAGGATTAATTGTTGCATCAATATAATATAAAAAACCTGAAACAATAATACTTAATAAAAATTTTAATTTATTTCTATTTTTTTTAATATGAAAAATAAAGAAAATATAATAAAATATTTCCCTAACAATACATATATATATATATATGTATATGTATATATACAGAGTGTTTCAAACCATTAGTACCACCCATTTAAAAACTAGAGAAGTGGTTATTTAAAAAAAGTAAAAACATTTTCTTTATAAATCGAGTGCGCTCTATCGAATAGTAATGATATTTTCAACTTCTGGTTTTGGCCGGAAATAGGCGATTCAGACCGGAAGTGCATTTTTTTTAATGGAACCCCCTCTTTTTCATTGCATATTCTTATAGCCTTACATCCAGAGTTTTCCAAAATACTAATAAATTATTTTTCCATGAAGTGCTTTTAGAGTTATGAGATTTAAAATCATTTCTTAATTTTACATAAACCATAAAATATCTTGTAAAATATTCATTTTTCGATTATCTTACCTTAATACTTTTATGTACAAAATAATGAGCGGAATCAATTGGTGTAAAGAAAACATACAGTTTTTAAGAAAAAATATGGAATTGTTAATTCAAATTGTTTTTCAATTTCAAGAAGTTGAAAATATCACCATTCGATAGAGCGCACCCGATTTATAAAGAAATTGTTTTTACTTTTTTTAAATAATCACTTCTCTAGTTTTCAAATGAATGATATGGGTAGTCTGAAACACCTTGTATATGTTAGGCTCAAAGACCGAAAACGCTCACTGAACGAAACAACCGATCATAACGCGTTCTGACTTCTCAGATTCAGCCACAACGCGAAATTTGCGTCGAGGCACTTTCCAAAACGCTCATAACGCGTTTAGGCATATTAAAAAAGACCACAAAGCGAAATTCGTGTTGAGGTTCTTTTGATAATCGACCAAAACGCGTTCTGGCAATGTAAAAATGCCACAACGCGTTGTGGACGCTTATTGATGCAGCCATGACGCGATGTAAGACAAATACAATCTATCAACGGCCGACGGATTCATGCACATTCTTGTTCGTTATTTTATTTAGCGTATTGCTAGAGTGTGGACGTTGTTGGTTTGCGTGCTAATTATGTGGTACGAAATATTACTTCAAAAAGTAAAAGAAGCTCAGTTACTTCGAAAAACTACTGAAAAACTACTGAAAAACTGATTGAAAGAAAATGGTTCTGAAGGCATGGACGATTCCAAAATTCGCTATTTCTGTAAGGTAGATGAGCTATTTGATGTATTGGAGGCAGCACATCTCAACGTGGGACATAAAAGGATAAAAGGTAGTTGTATTTAAATCTTTGAAATTTGACGTTTATTGATACAGCAATAATGCAATAAAAATAAAATTATAAAGAAAAAAGTTATAAAGAAAATTAACAGTTAGCCTTATTAATCCTATAGCTTTTACAATAAAATTTAAAACAATTAAGTTTCTGTGATAGAAGTTTTCATTCATCAGTATTTTTTATTAATAATAATATAAAATACTGTTTAGAGTTGCTCTCTTTGTGAGAGTTCTTTTATTAAAAACAAATTTGCCATTAATTGACAAAATCATTTACAAATAAATTTTTTTATTTGACTAAAATCTACAATACTTTTTTTCATACGTAAGTATCAAGGATTAAAATAAAATAATTGACGTTATTTTGTTATAACAATCGACGTTAATTCAATTAAAATAAAACAAATTGTCTTTTTGACTGTAAAAGAAAATAAAGTTATCTTTATTAATACTATGGCTCTTTTAATCAAAGAAGATTTTGTAATAGAAATCTTCATTAATTAGTATTTTTCTAATAATAAACATTGTTCATAATATATATTGGTCCCTTTGTGGGAATTATTAATAAATTATTTATTTTTGCAAGAACTATTACTGACATTTGGAATTGCACTTTATATTTTTAGAGAGACATTTGCATTTTTTGTCAATGCAGTATCTTTTACAGTGGCAGCTTATAAAACCTTGCTTACTTCCAGATGACAACATAGAAGCTGAACGAAGAGTTAGTGAAGTACGTCTTGCAGTTCAATAAAGTTGCTCTCAGCAATTATAAATTCATTGCGAGCATAAAATCGCTCAAGGAGCCCTTCTTTGGTACCTAATTGATAAAGCCCTGATGAATTAATTCCGGCAACAACAGCTAAGACATTTCTGGGAGCTGCGCGTCCTTTATCAACGTCAGGCACTCTGACCGCTACACTAGTTCGAATATCAACTTTAGGAAATTTTGAATTAGAAAATGAAATCATTTTTTGTGCTTGTTGTTTTTGACCAGATTTAGCACATTCTCTCTCAACGCTGATACTGTTGTTCCTAATACAGAGCTTGCAAGTAACGTTCTGTCCGAAACTCTCATTATTCTCATCACTTTCTCCGCAAATAACGTAAATATATTGATGACATCCTGAACACTTGTAAGCTCCTGAAGTTCGTTTTCACAAATCACAATAAATTTTGCTGTCATCTTTTTTTTTTATTCTTGTGTAACCTCTCCAGCTTAAGGTATATTTTTATCTTCACTAGATTGTTCGTTAACTTCTTCTTAATCAGTATTATCTTGATCATTGTTCTTTACCGAAAAAAGAAGTTGTTCCAATTCTTCTTCAGTTTCTATAGAAGAATACATGTCACTGGAAAGAGAGGAATCCGCAAGTCCGATCTTTTGCGCTGATCCAAACATAGCCTCATAAGGACTTGTCTTAATTACCGAATGGAGAGCTCGATTCTTCTTACTTTGAATAAATCGGAGTCCTTCAGACCATTTTTCCGTATTATTGTCAGCCATCCACGCTACCAGCATGTCCGAATATCTTGGTTCGATCTTTTAACCGAACCCTGACTCTGAGAATGTCGCGGTTTACCATTAACAAGCTTCATTCCATGCCACATATCGGCCAAAATTTAATTATTTTATTTACGAATTCACGACCATTGTCGCTTTGAAGTATACATGGGGCACTGAATAAACGAAATGTGTCTATGAGTTGGTAGGCCACTTCCTCGGCAGTCTTTCTTCTTAAGAGGAACGAAGAATTGTGAATTTGGTTAAATGATCTTGATAATTCATAATGAATCGATAATCTTTATCTGACTCTGACTGCATGTCAATCAAGTCCACACATCGAAAGTTCATGTAGTCAGATAAAATAAGTTGTACAACTAATCCATGTTTTGGTATCTTTTTCTTCAATTGACACTGTTCACACAAAGACAGAAAAAGATTTATTATTTGACGAGTAACATTACAATATTTCTTTTTTAGTTCAGCTTCTATAACTGAAACATAAATAAAAATAATGTAGAAAAATATTAGACAAACACAAATTATTAATTATTTATTGACTATGAAACTAAAAACTTTATTAATTACTATCATAACATGTCTAACTATACTCGATATCAATCTATACGCGATATCAATCTTGTGCCGAAAACATCTTGGAATTCATAATATAACGTAAATATGTATCAAATCTAGTC